CGGGGGCGGGATGGGGGGCGGGGCCCCCATCGCAGCCAGGGCCCCCGCCGCCACTCCGAGCCACACACGTGAAATTGGGACCGTCATCGGCAGAATGGCTTTATTTTGGCAAATAGAGGGGAAGCCCTTGTTATGCCTCCCCGAGACGCATTACAAGGTTGTTGGTTTTCCGAAATGCCTCCGTACTTCCTCCCCTTGCGCCCTGCATGCTCGCTGTTCGCTCTGTCTGGCAAACGAGTGATCGTGCCGACGAGTGATCATCACCCTCGTACTCACTAGTTCCAGCACCTTGGCCTATATTATTCCTTTTCATGTTGTCTGTTTACTCCGCTGTCGTAGGAGTAAGGAAGCGAGTTCGATCAACCTGCGCACTGAGATGATTCGTGCATTTGATTCCCGTTTTGCTTGTCTTTCATTGCAATACATTCATAATGCGCATGCATACACGGACTGTAAATAATAGCAATTGACTTGGCATCGGTAGTGTTGTTTCCATGCGTGTGGCGGGCGGGGGCGGGGCAGGCGCCTGCTGTCGGCAATGTGTTTGCTCGCCCCGCCCCGCCCCGGGCTCGGCTCCAGCGAGGGCAGGCTCCTCCGGCGGCCGCGTCCGGAGTGCAGTGCATCTCTCAATCTTCAGGCCTCCCTCGTGGGCGAGCGAGATATGTAGGTAAAAACACGCAGACATACACTTTGCCCAGGAGCGGCCCGGCCCATCTCCGGGGGGAGGGGGCGGGGGCGGCACGGGGAGCGAGAGCGAACAGGTCTGGATTCGCCGACGCGGTGGCGCACCCCGTCCGGGCGGGGATGTTATGTTTCTGGTAAACTGGTGGTTTTACAGGTCTTTCCCGTCGTAACGGAAGCACACACACACACACGCGCGCGCTCGAGCACACATTGCTGCAGCCACTTGGCTCGGTGGGGGAGCCGGGCGCACTACTGGCTTAATGTTGTGATGGTTTGCAAACAGCAGCAGCTACGGCGCCGGTGGGCTCAAGGGGTTAATAAGCCAGCGCTTACTCTCCCACGATTATAAAAAGTCAATGAGGCCGAGATAAACGCGTTATCGAGTTACCGCACGCCGTCCTCACGTACGCTGCTGACTGGACGAATTGTAGGCCCTTGTTGCAGCACCTGTTTGTCGCGACAGTGCAGGTGCTATCAGTAGCGTTGGGTGTCAAGCTTGTGCGCAGCCTGATAGCACACCTTGCATTGTATAATACGGTTGGGTGGACCTTGAGTCCGTCCCGTCATGTCACGATCGCGGTGCGGTCCAGAGTTGTCGGGCCCCTGGACGGCCTTCTCAACCCGCACCCAAATCACTTGTTAGTTTGTAAATTGCTCTTAAATGTTTAACAATTTTGCTCTATTTCGCACCTCTAAACAAATTAAATTTGTCTTTAAGTTTAAGAGCTCTGCTCGGATCAAGAACAGTTGTCTGGGGTGCGAGGAGGCCCCGACCCGTCAAACCAGCGCGGTCGGTGGATTTATAAACCTCGACTAAGTGAAAGTACTCCGGTCAACAACAAAAGCGGATGAGGGAGCAAGGCAGACGGGCAAACACACAAAAAAATGATAAACCGCATGCAGCCGTGACGCCGTGCGCCTCTGAAGCGCCACCCCGTCGTATACATGTCGCATTACTGGTCGGCGGGGCCCTGGCGTGGCGGGGCACGGCTGTCTGGCGGCAGGGGCGTGAAGTGCACCGGGCGGCTGTCTGTCGCGACCCGTTGACAACCTGGCCCGCCGCCGCCCGCCCCGGGGGAGCGGAGCGGAGGGGGTGGGGGGGGGGCAGGGGTGGGGTGGCGCCACTGCTCTTACGGGACGGTAGCGCCGCCGCCCGGCCTGGCTGGCCCCGGCCCGCACATAGTGTTGTCGGTCACAATGTAAACTCATCGCGTTCTCTGCTGCTTCTGCCCGTTTTGTGGTCGTGTGGAGGTGAGGTGGAGGGGAGCGGGGCGACCCTGTTGGCTTTTGATCCCCACATTTGTTTGTCCGCGGCGCGTATGGGGCTCGAGGCGGGGCTCGGCTGAGCAGGGCGCCCCGAGCTGTTTGGCGTGGCGCCCCCGTGCCGCCCCGACAGCGCACCTCGCGCGCCACGCCACCGTGACGCGGGCGGTGGCGTGCGCTTCCGGATCATTATCGCGCGCCCCTTGAGCGCGCCGCCGCCCGCGGCACAGGGCGAGGCGGCGACTTGAACGCGCGAGCGAGACGAGTGTCGGGCGCGGCGGGGCAGGCGCCACCACCCGACCACCCCCGGCCGCCCCCTCCCCCGCCCCGCCGCCCGTCTGGCGACACGAGGATGTCACGGTGGAAGTGGCGTCCTGGCGCCAGGGGTGTGGCCTCTACAAGAGTTACATTGGCCACGTCGGAACGGACTGCAAATTGTGCTCGCGAGAGGAAATGTGCGTGCTGCTTGTTTGGAGCGCCGGTCGTAGACTTATTGCCCTGTTGCTCTTTTTATTATTTTTATTTTCCTCCGTCGCTCCTAGGTTTTGTTTTTTTCTATGGCAGCATTCTGTTATTAACTTGGAATGTTCGTGCCTGCTCAGGCTCAGCGCAGGTCCCATGTCGGTCAGGGTGGTGACACGCCAGTGTCAAATTTCTTATCGTGTCCACACCGATGTTGTTGATGGCGTTGGGACAGGTCGGGCCCGGGCCGGGGCGCCGGGCTGCCCCGCCCAGGAGGGGCTCCCCAAGGAGCCTGGCGGCGGCGGGATCCTGGCGGGGCCCAGCCCGCCTCAAGGGGGCTCGGCTCGGCCCGGCCAGGGCCCGGCAGGTTGACGCCAGGGCTGTTTGTCTCGGGGCCGGGCCGGGCCGGGCGGGGCGGGGCACGAAGTGTTGTCGCCTATCACACCACTGGTCTAAAAGCTGAACCAGGCTTTTACCAGGACTATGGGGCTGGCTGCGCGGGGATGCGCCCTGTGGTCGTGACGCTACAGTTGTGCCCGAGGTCGCGCCCCTGCTGACGTAAGGTGCTGCGGCGTGGAGTTGGCGGTTCTACGTGTGTTGGCGATGGGCCCTCGCCGCCCGCTCGCGTCACTGCCCGCGGCCCTCCCCTCCCCTCCCCGCGCAGGCCGTGATAAGCTGCACTCCCCTCGCTTGTTGGTGACACCGAGGCGACAAAGCGCCCCCTCCCTCCCCGGCCCGCCGCCACTTCCTGCTCCGCCCCAGGCGCCAGGCCCATGCACTCATTGGGCTCCACTCATCACGAGTCTTTGTGTTATTTGCACACAGAGCAGGACCTTGCAATTAGCTGCCGGGGATGTCCTCCGGTGCGGCCGGGCAGGCTGGCCTGGCGCCTGCGCCGCTCCCCCGCGCCGTGGCGCCTCTGGCTGGAGCCTCTGGCTGAGAGCCCTGGCGCCTCGCTCGCCTCGCTCCGGACGGCGCCCTGCCCTGCCTCCTCGGGGGGTCGCCGGCGTGACGTCCTCGTGTCTCGGCGTGGGTGTGGTGTGTTGTTGCCGTCTCTCTCGCGCTCGCTGCATCCCCCGCCGCGCCGCTTGCGTTCCTTCCGCTCCTCCTCTTCGCCCCCGAGCATAATCGACCATGCAGTCCCTCCAATCCCTCTGCTTCCGAGTCTCTTCATCAATTATTCCGTCCCTCTTTTTCCCCTTATGCAAAGCTATGCCATGTCGCACTCTTTCTCGTCGCCGCCGCCGACGTTCCTCCACGTTACAAATTAAAGTTTTATCTTTGGCCTCCCCCGGGCAGGCCGGGTCGGGCCGTGTCGTCATGACGGGGCAGGAACGCCCGCTCGTTGCGTCGCCCTGTCGCTTTTGTCGCCGCAGTAAAGCATGAGTCTGCGAAAGCCCTTGGGGTCCTTAGAGGTGTCTCGACGGCGCGGCGGCGGCCGGGCAGAGGGTGTGATTTGACAGTTCGGTCCCTGCGACGCGTAGTGCTCCCGGGCGCTGGCGCCGTGGTGGAGGTGGGGAAAGGGGGGGGGGCGGCCTCTTGGGACCTTGGACAAGGATGGGAGGATGAGACCCCGAACCTTTGGGGAGGATAATTATAATTATACAACTAAAGGAGTTTTCACGAATCTTTGTCAATCCTCTAACGCCGACTGTTTGTTTGTTCTGCCTGCAGGCGCATGTTCCCGTCGCTCCGCGTCAAGGTGTCCGGGATGGAGGCCGACGAGTACTACTTCGTCGTCCTGGAGATGCGCCTGGCCGCCAACACCCGATTCAAGTACAGCAACGGGCACTGGGTGCCCGCCGGCGACGCGGACGTGCAGCCGCAGAGCAAGTCCTGCATCTTCGTCCACCCGGACTCGCCCGCCAAGGGTAGCGCCTGGAGCGCGAGGGACATCAACTTCCAGCGGCCCAACCCCCACGGCGCCAAGCTCACGAACAACACGGCTGACACTACCGATTACAATGTAAGTAGTTTTATAAATACAGCAGGACACTGATTCAAATCTCGGCAGCTTTTTAGCCTGGTTTAATTAGTTGGGGTTCTTTTCACTGTTCACGATGTAGAACAAGGGCCGCTCCCGCTGTGCTATGTGCTATATGTGGTAGAGAGTGAGAAAAGGGGGGGGGGCGAGAGCATCCATGTAAAGACAGCCTTGGGCACCGTCTAAAATCCGAGAAAACCCCTCTCTACATCATATGGTTTTTGTGCTATTGTAATAAGCAGTACGGTATTTCCTTCTCGCAGATGATTCTGACTTCAATGCACAAGTACGTGCCGGTCATCCATGTGGTGCGTGCCAGCGACAGGGCAGCGCTGCCCGCTGCACCCAGGAAGTCCTTCTCCTTCCCCGAAACGGAGTTCGTGGCTGTGACGGCGTACCAGGTCAGTCGAGTGTCCTGTCGTGTGACGTCAGGTGTCAGCTTGCTGTTCGCCCACTCATTCTGTGCTGCTCGCGCACATTGCTCCTCAAAGCGTTTTCTCTAACCTGCTTGCTTTTGCTCTCCCCCACAGAACGAGGCCATCACCAAAATGAAGATCGACAACAACCCGTTCGCCAAGGGCTTCAGGGAGAATGGTATGTCGCAGTGCCGGCGCAAGCAGCAGCACAAGAAGCTGCTGATGGGGGCCAAGGAGTACCTCGCCCAGGACAGCCCCTCGCCGCCGCCTCAGATGGCGGGGTACTTGGACGACAGCGGGGTGTCCTCCCTCGGCTCGGAGCCCGCCTCGCCCTCCTGCTCGCTGACTTCCTCGCCACCCCCCACCGACACTGCGCCGACGACCTGCACGGCCACGCCCACGGTGCCCTTCCTGTCCATCACCAAGATACTGGAGCCGGACTACCGGCCGTTGCGCAGGGAGTCGCGGTCGTTCGCGCCGTGGTGCGAGGAGGCCAGAGAAGCCCCGCCTGCGGGCCCCTCGCGCCTGGAGGGCTCATGGCTGGAGAGCCCAATGCACCCTACCACCCACCTCATCCACCCCGCCCCCGTCGCCCTCCCCTCCCTCCCCTATCCGTGGTACGGTCCCTACCACAGCTACCCCTACACCTCGTACCCGTCAGCATACCTCCCCGCCTTACAACCGGCATGCAGCCTGCCGCGGGACTCGGCCGTGGGCGCGATGGACCTGAGCGTGTGCGCCCAGGACCTCAGAAGTAAGGAATATAGAGCGTGAATCTCGGGATGTGAGTTCAAGAGGCGAGTACCGTTGCATGGAGGGCACACGGCCCTCTAAGTGTTACACAGTTAATTAATTTTGTATAATGCAGTGATATACAACTCCATTTTTCATGGTTGTGTTTTAGATATGTAGGACACGCAGTAGTTGTGCTTCATTGTTCCTGGTTTTGAGTATTGTATATAGATTTGACTAAAGAAAAAGATCTATTTATATGTCCTACCAAAGCAGTTTTTGTTCTTGCCAACAAATTACTATCATTGTATACTTGTAGAAAATACTATTTGGCATTAGTATGAGATGAAGATGTGTTAAGAAATAACACTTAAGTACAAAGCCCTTATCTAGTTTCTTTGAATCAAAAAACTGTAATTGTTTAGATTGATTAAATAATGTAAGTGTATTTTTTTACCAAATAATCTAGTGATCAATGTGTTACGTATGTGATTTGTTTTTAGTTTCCTAGTGAGAATATTTTATTCTATATAAATACCAATTTAAGAATGCAGCAAGTGATAGGATAAAAATGTAAAGTGCATAGGTTGTCAGTGCAAAATAAAATTGCTGTCTCAATTAATCAATCTTTTAATGAAAGAAACACAGTATTGCTTTATTTAAATCCTTCTTTTATATAGTATTTCACTAGGTAGCTCATTTAAACTGCCTTGTCAGTACTCTATGATACCTCACAAATTTTCAGTAATTTCAAATGACGCTTATTCAAAATTCTTGGAAAATCGAGTCGTCTCGGGGAATGTCCAATATATATTTTCTCATTTTTGGAAACGGTCTCTAAAATCCTAAGAGCAAATAATGTTGTGTGTATTTGAAATTAATGACATAAATCTCTGCTTACGACCTAAGCGATAAGTGGCAAAAGTCATTATTAGCGAGAAATGTGTACATACAAAAATTGGCTGAAAACACTGGCCAGCGACAGCAGCAGAACAGTCTGATATCCATGGAACAATCCACCCAGTCCAGTCCATGCATGAGTATACTGATGTCACAGTGCTCACAGTCCATATACTATATATATGTCACAGTCCATATATATATACTATATATATGTCAGAGTCACGACACGACAAGGGGTAGTGTCGCTCTGTGGGGCTTCTGAAGGATAAAGTCTCACTTTCCGTGGAGTATCGCCGTGATCAGGGGAGCAGTGCGGTGGGGGAGAGTGGGGGGTGGGGGAGCGGACTTCTTATTCGCAGCCACCACGTCTGCACTAGTCGCACCGCTTCACTGCATATAACGTCCGGAGTGCTATAAGCACTTCACTCGACCACGTTTCTTTCTCACTCCATTTCCGGACCTTGTGCCTCTTGCGCTTTGGCGTCAGTGTAGATCGCTAATCTAAAAGCCATCCAAAATGGAAAACGACGCTGGAGAATTCGTTGACTTGTACTGCCCCAGGAAATGGTAAGATTTGTGTTAAATTTATCTGTGGAGCTACTTTTGACGGCCGACGCATATTGATGTTTCTCACCTAACCTCCTCGTCAATCGTGTTTTGCTTATCAGTAACATTTGGCTTCTTAAGAGACATTTTAAATCTCTTTATTTCGTCCTTTTTCGTTTCTTAAGTGTATCTTCTTCATGATATATACGCTGAGCTTTAAATTGTGTCCCTTACAAAACCCGGCTGCCGCCTGCCGGTGCGGTTCTTACCCTCTCACTTCTAACCTCAGATGTGGTTCCCTCCAGTGCCTTTGTTCTAATATCTTTCTAACTAAGGTTGTTCCGTTGATTTCCAGCTCCGCCAGCAACAGGATTATCCATGCTAAGGACCATGCTTCCATCCAGATGAACATCGCTGATGTTGATCCCATGACTGGCATCATGCTCGACACCTCCAAGATCTACGCCATCTGTGGCTCCATCAGAAGAATGGTAAGCATTCACTGTTCACCTTCAGAACTGCCATGTCTTCAAAAATATTATAGTCCATACTGATTTGTAAGCAACTATTTTCTTTTTTGGGAGGATTTTAATATTCCTTTCTTGCTGTTTGGTTGCAATAGAAAACGGAAGGCAAATTAACGCCAACCAGTGTAATCGGTTGGGGTCAGTCTCCTTCTCAACATTTGAGATATTTATTTACTTAATTTATGTGAGGTTTGAGTCATATTGACAGCAATGACAAGCTTTTTGATTTGGTTTTCATGACTAATTCATGCTATGGAATTGCTAGACTAAATGGAAGGAAAATTAACACCAACTGGACTGTCCAGTTTGTGTCAGTCCCCTTCTCAACAGTTGAAATAGTGGCAACATTCTTTATACCTTTGAAACTTAACAAGATTACTGACGAGTCTTTTCTTTGTTTGCAGGGAGAATCAGATGACTGCATCATGCGTCTGGCAAAGAAGGACAACATCATTGCCAAGTAAGTATGCGGAGTAAATACTTCAGGCTCATTTACGATCGGTTTGGCATAGGTAATGAAAATTCTGTAATCTAAGCTGAATGAAGTCTTTTGTATTCAATGTGAGTGTTTTATTGCACAGTTGCATTTACAATCGTTTCCACATGTTTCCATGGTAATTTATTACATTCTAACAGTACCATTCTTCTCTGGCATTTGTACCAGTCTGGCTAGTTTGGACATAGTACCCTTGGTTTGAAATTTTAATTTGTTTGTTACAAGAGTCTAGGTTGAACTTAATTATTTTTGCTGGTAGGAATAATTTCTGCTAAGCAGCTATATTATTCAAGAATTTCTTCTTTTCTTCAAAATTCATTGCAAATGCTACCTTAAGATTCAGTATTGTTGAAAATTTGTATTATCCAAGTAATCCGATCCTAAGTGAGCCTTTAAATGTGAATTACTTTTTATATTGAAAGTATTATAATTGTTGCGTTTATTTTTCAGGAACTATTAAATGCTGCTAGTTTTAATTTTCTTCAATAAAAAAAAATGAAAAACTACATTTTGTGTCATTGTTAACCCTTTCCTCTTTCACACTCTCATATTTAATTTTCACACAAAATTATCCAAACCTGTCTGAAAAGCACAACTTAACACAAGTGATCCTCACTTAATTTGGAGAAAATTGGGTACAAGCAAAAATCTGAGTACTATAATTCTGTTTTATGCACACCTGGAGTAAGTACTTCGAGGACTGCCGTCAATAGGGCTTTCAAATCCCATAGCTGATTCGCGATGACTCTAACCGTCGTACACCTGCAATCAAGATGCATTTGATATTGTGCCTGTGAGGGTACTTCGGGTGGGGTGGGGGCTCTTTGGGCTGCCTTCGGGTCTGATCCGTCAGATCCATCCCAAATACGAAGCTGATCACCCGACCCGAGCGGCGGCGGGTAGCGCCGACGGCCGAAGCAGTGCATCTGCTGAAAGTGTTTAATCATGGCGGCGAACGTTGATGAATTACGTGAGTTTTCTCTTTGTCCGAAATAGCATTAGACAAAATTTGTTCTATCTGGTCTTGCATGCTATATGATAGCTGATTACAAATCTCGGGTTGTGAAAATCTTTTTGTTTGTCACCGATGACAGGCTTCATAACCTTACTACAGTATCGATAGCGGCATAGTATCGCAATGTTTTGAAATCTGCTTTAACATTATTGACGGAGACATCGACATTTCTGCGTGTATTTTTTCCTGCCTTTTCATGTAACTGAAATTTCAAGTTAACTGTTTTGTGTCAATTAAACATAACCTGTTGATTGGCACAAATAACATCAAACAATGATATTTCAGTATTTCAGATTTAGGGAATCTGTTTTATCAAATGATTAAAATTTTCCGTGCAACTGTATATTTTCAGTGAGGTCAGTTTTTATGTATTTAATTGTCTTAATTTTTTGGTGCTTCTCAGTCCTTTTGGAGCGAGTATTTCTTCGGATTGGATCAGCTGAATCTGATGAACAACTTCAAAATGCCATCAACAAATTCCTACCTGCAGTTCTTCTTAAATTGTCCAGCCCTCAAGAAGGTGTTAGAAAAAAGGTAACACTCCTAGTTAGATCAGTTTCTATTTTTTCTCCTGTTCAAATATAGTGAACGATAAAACAAAGAATTGAATGAGACAAAAATTCACAGGTCATGGAACTTTTGGTTCACATTAACAAAAGACTTAAGAGCCGCCCATTGGTACAGTTGCCAATTGATTCTCTCCTTGTGCAATACCAAGATCCAGCTGCCAGCGCTTTCATAATTGTAAGTCTTTCCTCATACAAGACTATGTTAAAAGTTAATTTTAGAATAGTCTAATTAATCGTTATTTTCTTGTGCTAAGAATTTTACCATCATCTACATCAAACTTGGATATCCTAGACTACCAATAGAAAAGAAGGCTGAGCTGGTACCCATATTGCTTTCTGCTTTGGATGGTAAACCAGTACAACACCGTGACAGGTTGGAAAATTATTGCCAAAATTTATACATTCTTTAAAAAAATGTGTTTAATTTTTAACACAGTTCTAAATTGGTTTATCTGTTATCATAATTCATAAGAGTTTTTTTTTTTCTTTCCCTGTTTAGCTTGTTCCTTTTGATCATGCCAGTTCTAGGAAATGTCCGAATTCCTAGCGACAAAGCTGCTGTGGAGAAAATGTTTAGATTTGCTGAAAAACCACAGCTGGCTAAACAATTTGCTGATTTTATGCTTGATATGCTCTTACTACCTTATGGGTAAGTACCAAGTAATTAACATTGATGCAGTTTCTGAATTTATTTAATTTTTGTTCTTGAAACGTTTCTTTTATAATTTGAAGATAAAAGCTTTTTTCAAAATATTTTTGCAATTTTAGGTCCACTCTTTCAGCCACAAATCCTGCACCAGAAGAGCATTCTGCTGAATGCACCGCACACTTACCTCCTGGCTTGAGTGAATATGCACTCAAACGACTCATAGGGGAGGCACCTATGAAACCAGAGGATTTGGAAGAAGTATGCAGTTAAATTGTAGTTTCAATACTAATCTGTCATTCAAACTTTGTAATTGCTTAACCCCCTCAGATTATTATTCTAATTTTATTTTTTTCTGATTTTTAGGCAAAGATGGGCATTGTGAAGTTCTTGTCATCTGGAGTTTATCCCGATAGTGACATACTGTGTCAACTCGTTGTAGCATCTGCTGATTCACGTTTTAATGTAGCTAACTCTGCAGACTTTGAACTACGCAAGATCACAGGGTAAACAATTATTTATCTTCATAATGTTGCTATTCAGTCACTATTTGGTACCTCTCTCTTTATATCTATTTTTTCCTCAGATCACTTGATTGGGCCAATGTGCCAATGATGCAGCCTCTTTTCTCTCTGTATTTGGGAACTCCTGCATCAAAACCTAATCAACCGAGTACTGTTAAACCAGATATGAAAAGAGCTCCATCAGGAACAAGACTTCGGTTAAAGCTATTACCTTGTTTGGTTCGCGCCAAAGGACAAGCTGTAAACTTTCCTCTCTGCATCCAGGTTAGTGCCTTGATGACGATTTTGTTTTATCAATCAATCAATTTTAAATACGGTAGACCTCTTTTTATATGTGTATGGGTCTGTCTTTCCAGGTTTTCTTTGATTCTCTATTTAGTCAAAACACAAACACAAGACTGAGAGGAATGGCTTTAAATTTTTGCCTCACAATCATACGCAAGTAAGATTTAATGACATTGTCCAGTTGTAAATTTTGCCTAGTAATTGTGAGAGATTGAATTGTAACTTTTCTTTCTCTTAATGCTTGCAGTGTAAACTCAAATCTTCTGAGCCATGTTGCACATGTTCTGCTCTCTGGACTTCTCAAGCTGTTGTCTGAGGGTGAACCGTCGCTTAGGGGCCAGACATACAATGTAATTGGGCAACTTGCAATTTACTTTCCTGGTTTGGTCAACAAGGACTTGTTGCTTCTTACAAATTTTCTAGAAGCTTTAGGAAAGGTTTGTTATTACTTTAACTGTGACATTCAGTGTGAGTAATGTATTGAAGACATTGTATCATTTTAAGTTTCAAATGGCTGCAGGAAGAAGGCCAGGATTTGAGGCTCAACATTCGGGAGGCTCTTCTTACCATGGTGGATGCCTTCCGCCCTGAATCTGCTAACAATACTGCTCATGTCCCTCCGTGCAAAGCTGCCACCAACGGCTCCTCTGCATCTGGGGCTGCTAAATCAAAGAGCGGTATGTTTGGCATTCAAATTAAGTAGTGTTAAGTTTTAAGGCCAATTATGTATTGAATATTAAACCTAATTTTGACTTGTGTATTTGTTTAGTAACATTTTCAGTAATTATTTTTTGTCTTAACAGATGGTTCAAACAATGCAACTACTGTGCTTCCTCCTGAGTTACTACGTTTACAAATGCAAGAACTACTGAGCCGTCAAATAGAGAACCCTGAGCCTATGGTTCGCTTTGTTGTAGTGCGCTATGCAGCTGTGGCATTCCCACCAGATCATGCCCCCTCAAGGTTCTTACTACTTTTGGCAAGTGCAGATAGGTCCGTATCTTACATTTTTCATAAACAATGTTTTACTTAAATTACTTGATGTACTGTAGTATACTTAATATATGTTATGCTTCACTAATGTCTGCCCACTCATATTTTTAGCAAAGATGAGGTGTCATCAGAAGCTATTGCATCTCTTTACAAAGTTGAAGAGAAACCATTCAGTGGAAAGAAATTAAGTAAGGAAGATTTGGATAAGGAACTGGTTTTACCAGCATACCCTGATATGGTAAAGTTTATTTGGGATCAAATTCAGTTGTCAAGGTCAGGGAGCAAGTCAGCATTTTCACCTGATGCATTTAGCCAGGTAAAAGACGTTTAAATTTTGTAAGTGTTTCTTGTTGCAGTAATTTTGTTCTCAAACTGTAAATCTAATCTTTAAATCTTTTTTTTTTTTCTTTATTTGGGCTTAGATTGTGAAGTACTTACGTCTATGCCTAGCTCGTAGTGCAGGTGTTGTGCTCCCAACAAATGAAACTCTCACTCATCCTTCAGAATTTACTCCAAAAATAGGTCGATACTTGAAGCAAGTTGTTGAATCCAATTTTGAAACAATCAACAATTATTTGGAGATAGTACATAAACTGCTGTCTGCTGCTACAGGTATGTATATTTATTGTGCTCATTTTTTCCTGGAAGTATACCGAATACTGTATTTATAAGAAAGGGCCACTCTTACTCCATGGTCTTATTAGATTATTATTATTTTCTCTTTTTCTACAAGGACCCCTTGCAGTACTTGCCCTTTTAGAAGTTGTTGGTTGTGTTCCTGAAGTTTTGGCTCCCAAATTTGTTGATAGACTTCCTGTGTTTAAGGTAATATGACCTAAAAAATGTATGTTTCTTTTTAGAAGTTTGTTTCAATGTATGATCTTAATTTGCTTCCTTCCTCAAAGGATTTATTGCGTAACACAAGTGAAGAAATGCGAGATCTTGCTGCTCAAATTTTTGGCATCCTTGCAGCCCATGGGCTAAAAAGTGGCAGTGACTTTGATAAGTGTATAACTGAACTTGTTCATGACACAACGAATAAGAAGACTCTTCTTGAGCAGCAGCATGGCCAACTCTTAGCTATGGCTCATGCTGTGGAACATTCAATTGTTATCTTTCGCTCCACTGGCACCAAAAGTGTATCTGACATACTCAAGTGGCCCATCTATAAAACAGTCATCTTAACAATCTGTAAGTGAACATATTTAAATGGTTTCTTTCTAATTAAATTGCGTACCTGCGTCATTAATTATTTTTTTCCTGCAAGACTCTCTCTTTGACAATGCATCACCAATTCTTGTTGGAGGAGCCTGCTCAGCATTGGGCCATTTGGCAAGATGTAATGAGCTTCCTCTAATCCCTGGAAAAGGAAATGATGACAAAGAGCCCGGTAAATTGGATGTTTTATTAAAGCTTCAATCCATCATGAATAGCTCCAAGATGACAGCCAAGGCACGTCAAATTACTGATCTTATGAATTGTAGAAATTCTGTTACAGGCAGTAACATATTATAACTATTTCTTTTTTTTTCTTTTTTTTTATCATTGCAGGTCAAAGAGCGGGCAGTAAAAGCTGCAGGACACTTGTGTGTTGGTGAAAATTTCCCTCACACTAAGGAAGTGATTGAGGGCTTCTTAGCCATGGCAAAAGAGGTAAGTAACAGGGTTTCTTGTACAATGAGCTAATTCGTTAATTTCATTTCATGCTTACCAATGATGTTCTGATGTGTCCTACCAGAGTAGAGATGTTGAAGTACACCTTAGTGTTGGAGAGGCTTTAGTGTGTTGTGTACTTGGTCCCTCTTCACCGGTTGCAAGAGATCCTTGGACCATATTAGAATCAGAATTTAAATCACCGGAGGTTGATTTGAATGAGACAATGGATTTGACATGGCTTTTTGACAAGTTGTTAAAGGATATGGTAAATGAACCTCACCCTAATCAGAAACAGGTAAGCTTCAGTATATACACTTGAAAGTGTGAGAAACTGCACATTGAATGTATGATCTATTGATTGATTGATTGACTACTAATACTCATTTACTTGCAAAGGCTTGTTGCTTCTGGCTTCTTGCCTTGCTGAAGAACTGCTCCAAAACCAAAGAGATTTCTTCTCGATTGCCTGAGGTTCAATCTGCATTCATGAATTTCCTCGGAGAAAACAATGGTAATTTCAAAATGTATCATTGTTAAATTTATCTATCTAATTGTATAAATTTCAGTTGATGACCTTGTACCTTTTATTTACTTTTATCTGCATTATAGATATTGTTCAAGATGCTGCATCTAAGGGACTTGCTCTGGTATATGAGAGTACTGGACCAGAGCACCGTGATAAACTGGTATCTGAGCTACTTGATACGTTGTTAAGTGGACGCAGGTCTGTTCAACAAGTCACAGCTGATACCCAAATATTTGTTGAGGGAGAAGTGGGTAAAACTCCTGGAGGGTAGGTTAACTTTTTGTTAATTTTTTATTTCTAAAACAGATTAACTCATACTATACTGCAGTAAGTAGTGTCTACCTTGATTAATTTTATTATATTCTCTTTAATAGAGGAAATTTGTCCACCTATAAAGAACTGTGTGCACTTGCATCTGATCTAAATCAGCCTGACCTTATTTACAAGTTTATGCATCTTGCAAATCATAATGCTGTGTGGAATTCTAAGAAGGTATGTACTGCACTCCCACTAAATCCTATTCTTGGGTCTCTCTTTCTATTACTTGGTTACCTTTTCACATGGTTATTATTACTGTATTGTGGTGTTTTAGGGAGCAGCATTTGGATTTTCTACAATTGCATTATCTGCTGGTGATCAACTGTCTGCACATCTACCGAAGATTGTGCCCCGGTTGTACAGATATCAGTTTGACCCAACTCCTAAAATTCAGAACTCAATGGCCAGTATTTGGCACTCATTGGTTCCAGAGACATCAAAAACTGTTGATAAGTATCACAAGGAAATATTGGACGATTTAATTCAGAACCTCACAAACAATCAGTGGCGAGTTCGTCAGTCATGTTGCCTTGCAGTATCTGATTTCATAAGGGGAAGCAGCAAACGCTCAATTCAGGTATTTAAAAGTTGTTTTTTTAAAATTGTTTTTCTTTTGTTCTATAATACATTAAGAAATCAAATCCTAAAGTTAACTTTGACAAATTGTTCAGGATGACATTGAGTCTCTGCCAAGTCTCTGGCTGGCCCTTTTCCGTGTGATGGATGATGTCCATGATGGTACTAGGCAAGCAGCAGGAAACACAACTCGCACACTTAGCAAGGTAATTAATTACTGGTTTCTGGTTTCATTCAACAATTTTGGTTTTAGGGTTTTTTGTTGCTTTTATTTCAAGTCTTAGTTTTCTTAAGCTCTTTACTAATCTCTTTACTAAATGTAAACTTTCAGATATGTATACGAGCCTGTGATACAACCCAAGGCAAAGCTGGGCAGGAAATGGTTAAGGTTGTTCTTCCAGTTCTGCTTGAGAATGGTATCTGCAACAACGTCTCTGAGGTTCGGGCTATCAGGTATAAAAATTTGTTTTCACAATATGTAATCAGTAATGCCCTTATTAATTGTTATTCTTTTTATTATCTGAAAGTTAATGTTTTTTCCTTGGTTTAGTCTTCAAACCGTGTCTCAGCTTGTCAATGTGGCCGGTTCACAGCTAAAGCCACATCTTCCAGTGCTCCTACCAGCTCTTTTAGAAGCTACAGGAGAACTGGAATCAGCCAACCTAGCGTATCTGAGTACACGCTATGGTGCAGATGCCGACAAGCAAGAGATGATTGATTCTGTCCGAGCTGCTGTTGCCAAATCTCAACACAGCACTGAAACCATGACCAAGGTAAGGCAGTTTATTTTTCTAAACTATTTATTAATGTTTTATTGCTTTATTTTTAACACTTTTTGACACTTTTCTCTCAATTTGCAGTGCCTTCAATATGTTGATGCGGAAATTTTGGAGCAGTTAATTCCCAAAGTGGCTGAAATGTTAAGGACTTCTATTGGTTTGGGAACACGTGTTGCAACAACACACTTAATTGTTCTTCTATCAAGGCCTATGAAAACTGAACTTCAACCGTATGCTGGTATGTGTCGTACTGTCAATTGAATTGAAATACCTAAAATTGTAATTAAAATGTGAACTTTACTACTTCTTTTTCAAACCACAGGAAAGTTACTTGGTGTGTTAATAAATGGTTTGTTGGACCGAAATAGCACAGTGCGTAAATGCTATGCCACAGCAATTGGCCACATTGTTAGTTCAGCTAAAGAATCAAGTCTAGAGAAACTCTTCAACAAACTTCAAGAATGGTATTTCCAGAAGGAAGGTGAGAATATTACTCAGTTATCAATAGCTTCATGTTCTTAAATTCACATGAATCAAAATTTATGAAAACCACTGTTGTATTTTACCTAGACGATAATGTTCGTTCCGCTATTGGCCTAACATATCGAGCAATTGGGACACATAATCAGGATATTCTAATTAATTATATGGACCAAGTTGTGCCTCTGACCTTCTTTGCTATGCATATGAAAAAGACACCAGGTATAGTACTACAGTACTTTGAAGTTACGACATTAGTTAACACTGTCTTTAAAGAATACTGCAATTTGGAATATATTTGTTGTAGAAACTACTGCATTTATTGAAGTGTGGGAAGATGTTTGGTCAGAAGCTACCCCAGGAACTGAAAGTGCATTGAGAATGCACATGGGGCCAGTGTGCTCCCTTCTTAAAGAATCTTTGCAGTCCCAGTCTTGGACAGTTAAAGAACAAGTAAGTAGCAGTTAAAGTGGTCTCTTCTTAAAATTTTCAGTATACCTGTTCAAAACCTTTTTTTGTTTTTCTTTTAAGGCTGCTAATGCAATTGGTACTCTAGCAAACAAGATGGGTGCTACTTTACAAGCTAACCAGAGATCAGAATTGATTGAGATTCTTTTGTTGGGCTTGTCTGGTCGTACATGGAAAGGAAAAGAAAGTATTTTACAAGCTTTGGCTTCTGTTGCCACTAACTGCAAGTAGGTTTTCAAAACAAATTCCTTAAATTACTCTTCTACTTATTACTTCACTGAAACATTGCTTTCTCTAAAGGGAACAACTCATGAAGTCCGAAAGTGCCCAAATCACAGAATCTATTGTCAATGCTGTGTTGAGGGAGAGTAAAAAAGAACAACCAGAATACAAATTGCTTGCTCTCCCAGCACTAGCTACAATACTCCATTCTCTTGAAGTTGATCGCTTCAGTGAGTTTTTCTCAATTGTCAAGGAATATTTCCAGGAAGTATGTTTTTAAAATATCCTTAGGAATCAAATAATTCTAATATACCTACCATACTTTGTTAACTTTCTTGTGTCATATAATTGTGTTAATTCAGCTGAAGGAAGAAGAGAATGAAGAAAATGAAGGATGCACAGATGCAGACACTGCTGCAGAAAATTCTGCTAAACGAGAGCAATGGATGCAATTCCGGGAGGTTTCATTTGAGGCATTAGGTAAAGCTTGGCCTGCAGTACCCAAGACTCAAGGTAGGAGTTCAAAAAATTTAAATTCTGTAAGACCGATTTGTTATATTTTCCAACTGTTTCATTTAACATTTTCTACATTTTAGCTGAATATCAGTGGGAAGTGCTTCAAGCAAGCATAACGTGTTTAAAAGATAGTACTCGACCTGTTCAGGGTGCTATTGTTGGTGCTCTCTCCAGCTTTGTTGACCGTCTGTGCATATTAGATTCATCATCTCCAGCATCAAAAAATATGCTTGTCTCAGAAGAGCTTTCTAAAATTTTGGATGAACTTGAGAAAGCCCTTCACTTTTCCTTGGGTATTTTCTTGAACTTCTTCATATTTTATTTTTATCACAACTATAAAAAATAAATAAATTGAGATTTTGGTTTCTTTTCAGGAATTACTCGAAACATGCGCATTCGGAAGGAATCATTAAATATATTGTTAACTCTAGCCAAGAAACTGGAAAGTGAGTGATCATATTTTATGTGTTACATGTTCCTATGTAAATTTTGTCCTTTTAACATGTTGAGTCCTTTGTGGCAACATGTGTAGACACAATAAACTGTGTTTGTGATTCCCCCTGAGACTAAACTCGTTCATTTTGCACATTATAAACTGTACTATCTTTAAATTTTTTTCAGATTGTGGACATAAGGATCTGCTTACTAGAGTTTCATCTGCTTTTTCGGGGACACTTGTTCAACTGTCAAAAGATAACACACCTGAAGTGAAATCAAGAGTTGTGGATTTAAAGGAGTTCCTTAAGAAATATGATGTGGAGGCTTAGGTCCAAAAGCCTAAGATCAAAAAGATAGATTTTGGCTGCTGCCTGCTGCATGCTCTCACATATTCTAATTGTCTTTTATCAAGGTTCTCAGATTTTACATGTTTGTGCATGCAAGCTTGTAATTAACAAGGTGTAGAACATAGCACCTATACATATCATGGAATCATAACTACAGTAATTGCTCAAAGTTAGAGATTTTATGGCAGTATCTTAAGAAACATGGGCGCATAAGTGTACATGTCAAAATCAGTTTTTATCTATCTTTGTATCGTAATCTTCTTTTTTGTGGTCTGTGATCATTTAAGGTACACTACTTTACAAATTATTTATTTGCAGAATTGTCTTTTAACGACTGATCATAGTGGTCAATGTAAGGTAGAGAACGAATTAATTGTAACAAATTGTAATCCTACTAAAAGTTGGTGAATGTTATTAAACTTAAGATGAATAATACTGAAGAAATTTCCATTTAATTTTCCTTGACGGCCATGCTGTTGCAGCCCGTCCGCTGGCTGCGGCGGGTGCTGCTCGCTTCAGTCCGGACGAGCCCGCGGCTCGCGCCCGCTCGCAGCGCCAGGCCGCCACCGCCGGCCCGGCCCGTCAGTCTTGCTTGGCGGGCGCACGGAGCAACACCTAGGTCCGTCCGTCCGTGCCGCCTGCTCGCCCGCTGCAGCCTCGCGAGCTCGCACGCGCGTGACACAACGCTGGACCACTCGGGTCGAGTAGCCCTTGGCCTTGCGAGCCGGCACCCAGCAGCACCCTCCTCCTCCCGAACCGCGTCTTTTCCACCACCCATATTTGGATCCCCGGCCCGACCCCCGCCCCCCTCAAGCAGTGCAGTGAGTAGCCAGTGATGCGCGCGTGAGCGAGTGCCAAGACATGCCTGGATACGCATGCACCCTCGCCCCCGCCCCCGCGTCCACCGTCCTCTGCAGCGAGGCCCACCTCGAGGCCCGCCGCCGCCGAGCTCTCCACACCACACACCACCACTCGTCGCCAGGACCGCCGCCGGCGAAGCGACCAGGCCGGCAGCAGCGTCAGCGAAATGCCCAGGGACCGCTTGAAAGCCCTGCAGGCGGTAAGTTGAGCTTTCCAATGAACACCAAGGCAGGACAGGGGAAAAGGGAAAAGGGGGGGGGGGCAGGTGAGGGGGAGGCTGGGCCGGCGTGGTGCGGCGGGAGGATGGGCCGGATCCCGATGGGCCTGCGCTCGGACGGGGTCAGACCGAGTACGCCTCCACCCCCCTCTCCCCGCGGGTACCCGCTGACCGGTCCCGGTCAGACGAGACCGGGCGAGGCGGGGCGACGGACCAGGAGAGCGTCCGGTTGGGCCGGGGGAAGGGAAGGGGCCTCGGCATTTCGACTGACCCTTTCAACAATAACGAGTGCACCGCTCTACTACAACTCTCTCCCGCCTCGTCTTCACTTGCACTAGGGTGTCACCTTGGAGTCAGTACTAATTCTCAAGCGTTCCGTTCCAACTAGGCCAGATTCTCTCCTTTACCATTCCTTCTCGCATTCCGATCTAATCGGAACGCAATTGAGAATTTGGCGGACAACACTCTTGACGCACGCGCACTCTGTCGCTGGGAGATGCGACAGGACACATCGAGAAGGCCCTACGCTCCTCTGACTGACAGAGTGCGCGGGCGTCCGTCCGTCATTTGCCTGTACGATACTGCCATGTTCATCCTGTGCAAGCTCTCGAGCGCCTGATGGGTAGGCAATATCTTGCGTACAGTGCATACGTGTACAGCGGGGTGGCCTACCCTGACTCTCGCAGGCGCTAAGCTCCCGCAATTTAAGCCGAATAAATCCGAGAAGAAAAAACGCGCGTCGTTCTGGACGATATTAACGAACTTCAAAGGGAGCAGTTTGGATCTGAAATTCCTCCTGCCATCTTACGATGGAGACCCCCCCCCCCCCCGCCCACCCTCACCTGCCCTCGCCGCGTTTGACTCGCGCGATCGGATGATGTCGCGATGAGGTTTGGCTTCAGCGCGGCCGCCGATGCGCTGGACGGGGTAAGCGTACGGGGCGGGGCGGGGCTGGCTGGCAGCCGTCGGGGCTGAAGCGTTTGATTGTAAACACGGGCAGCGCGCCCAGCTGAGCTCAGCGCGACATGGCGCGGCGGATGGGCCCGGCGACGCCTGCCCGGCGGTGTGTCCGGCCGGGCCGGCCAGGGCCAGGTCCGGTCCGGCCCGTTGGGGCTGCCTAGCCTAGAGAGGGCTGCCCCGCCCCGCCGCGGTGAAGCAACGAGTACTGCCGGGGAAACAATATGGCGATGTGCGGTAAGCTCACGGCTATGGCGGCGGCGAGCGAAAATTATCTTCGGGACGTACAAAAGCCTTTTGTTGGCCGAACGCGAACGGGGGGACGGCGAAGGGCGGGGCGGAGCGGACAGCCAGTGAATGGCCGAGGCACGACGAAAGGGTTGGCAACAGCTCACCTTTTCACCCACCGCACGCGCTGCGCGCGAGTGTCGCCTGCGGGCTACGCTACAAGGGCCATAAGCTCCCTTCGCCGCTACTTCACCCCCCACTCCAGAGGTTTCCCACAGCCGCAAACAAAAACCTGCATTTCCCTCACTGCCGAGGAAAGCGGACGACTGCTCGTCACAGCAGGAGCGCATTATCTGTCCGAGCAAGCCTTTCTGAGAGCGGGTTATGCAACCGCAACCTCACTACTGCCAGCCGGGCCTGGCCCGATAGCTCGTGCGCTAGTTTTCAGCGGCCGACTCATATTGTCCCAGCCAGCGTTCTTCTGGTGGTCGCGGCCGAGAGAGTGACAAAGACGGGCGGAGAGCGGCGGGCGAGTGGGGCGGGCGGGGCCCGGGCGATGATGAGGTACGTGGCGGCCGGGATGCGCCGGGATGCCCCCCCCCCCCACACACACGCACACACACACACACACTTGTTGCCTTCAAAACATTCCCGCGAGCCTCATACTTATCCCGGCGGCGGCGTGGCGGTGGCCCAGTGGGTCGGGTCCGCGAGGGGAAAGGTCGAGCAGGCCGCGCGCGCCTCTGCGGCTGACGCGTCGCGTCGGCGAGAGGCGGTGGCACTCCCTCCCCACCTTGCTCCGCCGAACATGACGCTTGGCTGCGAATCTCGCCGCCGCGACGATGGTGCTCATCCGCGCCCGCGTGACGCGTTCAGCAGAGCAGCGAGAGGCTGCAGCAGCTGACAGTGCCCCGCTGTGATTGTGATGCGCCGAGCTCGCGAGCGCGTTCGCTCAGAGAGGCACGGGCCACGTGCCGCCACGACTTTTGCTGCGTTCGGACAGAGAAATCGCCATGTCCGTTCAAATGCCGTCCCTCCCCTCCGCACGCCCCGCGCCTCCGCCCAGTTGTCAGCTTTGAAGCGGCTGCCGCTACCCCCCCCCCC